AAATAAGCACTTAATAAATGCTTGTTGAAGGCTTGCCAAATGCCCTCTTTCCCAAACTAAGTGTGTGCATTTATTAACTTTTGAGCAGCCCTGAACAACTTGTAGGCCTCAAAAAATGTAGAGGATATAAATACAGGCTTTCACAATATACTGCTGGCAGGCTGTATGTCGTGCAGGCCTGCTTTAGAGCTATGTTGTATATATTTTTATATGTACTTGTCTCCCTTATTGGATGTAAGCTCATTGTGAGTACAGATTGTTTGGTTCTTTGAACTTACATCCATCCCATCCAGTTAGCACAGTGTGAAATAAATATTTAATATCTGTCGACAAATGATGAAGAACATTACTCACTTCCTAAAAGCAGCGATTATAAGGTACAGACATGCTTTTTTGCACATGGGCACTGTAAGGATTCATTTTGCTATTTTTTTTACAAGGGCCCCTCCCCCCTCTCTTTCTCTCCATTAATTCCACGGGAACGAGATGGGGGTGTTAGCAATGGTGATGCAAAAACAAACAAAAAACCACTGTTGTAATATTTTTTTTTTAAATGCAGAGATGAGAACATAAGGAATTTCCGCAGGAGGAAGACAAGTTAACACATAATTCATCATATACTTTATAGCAAGCAGTGTGAAAAGGAGATTCATGGTTTCATATAGAATCTTTGTGTTCTGATATGTGTACAGAAATCCAATATATTTTTTGGTGTTTAAGCTCAGAATAAAACTGTTTTAAAAATCTGCTGATTAGTATTAGTGATTTATTATAGTATTTTATCATATAATTGTTAATAGTCTGTAATTCTTTTGAGAACTATCAGTTCTTAGTTTTTGAGTACTTCTCAGTTGGGGAATAGCTTTTGATCTTATTTCTTTCTTTGAGTTGTCTGCATCTTGGCTAAACTTTTATCAGAAATATTTAATAAAAAGATTTCTTCCCAGGCAACACAGAAATACTTTATCCTAAATGTGTCAAATTTGTGCAATGGTTCTTCTATTTCATGTAGCTGAAATGCTCTATTTTATCTTTTGAAATTGCCTCTATCCTTGTCTGGTCAAGACATTCCCTACCTATAGTTGTGAAAGGTGTATGATTTGCTTCTCTTTTACTGGCATCATCTTTAATACTCAGATCATCTATCCACTTTGAATTTATAGTGGAATACAGTATAATATGTTGGTCTAAGCTTAACTTCTGCCAGACTGCTTTCCAGTTTTCCCCAACAAGTTCTTATCAAATAGGGAATTCTTTTCTAGGTAAGTTGGACTTCTAGTTTTACTGATATTTGATCACTGAGTTCAATTATTTCTATTCTTCCCAGTCTAATCTGTTCCATTGATCTACTTTTCTATTTTTTTTTTTAAACAGGACCAAATGGTTATGTTGAGTGCTACTTTTTAAGACAGTCTGGAGTTCAGAAGTGCTATTCTTCTTTCATTCCTATATTTTTTTAATTACATATAGTTCTCACTTTTGGTAAATTCACATTGCACAAATCCAATTTTATATAAAGAATTCTAGAAGAAAGCTATATTCCAAAAAAGAAAAATACCTGTTAACTTTACTGTACACCACTGTACCCTCTTCTCTATCTCTCCCCCTTCCCCCCACCCCAACCACTGTCCTTTAGCCCAGCACTCCCTAGGCTCCCGCACCTTCACCAAAAAAAACCAACCAACCAAAACCTCCTAAAAAACAACTTTCCAAATGAAAGAAGAACAGACATGTGGAGAAAATGCCACTGCTGTCACGGGGTGGGGAGGAGAGAGGGTATTGGCTTGAACCCTCCAGCACTGAGAGAGAAGACCTTTGCCCCACTCTGCCCATTCAACCATCTGTCTGTCTTTCGTCCACCTTCAGGTACTGCATGTCTGTCGCCAGCCCCTGCTTGTCACCTGTCATCTCCAGAGTCTGTGATCAAAGCCCAAGCATCCGCCACCCGTATGTTACTCCTCTTGGTTCCAGCCAGGCCCCGAAATGGCTGGCCTTGGCCCCCATCTGTTTCTCCTACTGCTCTTATTTCCCTATCCCTGACCCTGAGTTTTTGTTTTTTTGTCTTTCCATTCCCAATACCTAGGTAGCACATGACAAAGCTGAGTCTTTGATCCCACTGAAAAAGCATTCATTTTCTTGTATCTCCCCTATGACCTTGCTTTAGCTTTCATTCCATCTTCTTTCAGACAGACATCCTCAATGCTGTCACTGCTGGCTTATTTCCAAAAGCTCAGAATCAAGCTTGAGTCTAATTCTAAAAAATAACCATCACCTAACTCTTCTAGATGACCTGCCTATCATCTTCCATCTCTCTTCATAATCAGTTGTCACTCTCTGCACCTTTCCAGCCTCATCTCATATTATTCCTCTTTATATAACATTCAAAGCAAACAAGCTTCAGATTATTTCTATGTCTGAAATGCTCTCCCTCCATTTACTTAGTGCATGAATTCCCTTTAAGACCAAATCAAATGTCCTCTCTCCAAGAAGACTACCTTGGATCCCTGTGTTTAGGAACAACTTTCCTTTAAGACTTCAAGAAGTTTTAAAAAAAATTCTCTATTGCATACATAATGTAATATTGTATGTTACAGTCATCTATATTTAATGTCTTATCCCTCTCCTCCACTAAGCTGTAGGGTCCTTGAAGGCTGAGACTTAGCTAAATTTTGTATCTTCCCTGGCTGTAAAATATTTTTTAGTGAGCAATAAACACAATTCATAAGGAACTGTGCCCTATTCCCCCAAACCTATCTTCTATTGCATTTACTGTTTATAAAACAAAAAGCACATGCAATATTTCAATTTTGCTTCACCACATTTAGGATGCATCATGATTAAGTATAACACTTCAGTTTAAAATACTAATTTAATATGTAAATCTTAAGAATCCTTAAGACTTATGAATGCTAAATTATAAAAATAAACTTTACCTTCGCACAACTTCTTTCCATCCTTCTTCTCTCTTCTGGCCTCTCTTAGGGCTAGTAAGATTTAACTTTATGTTTGGAGAACTCACTGGCAATGACACTGATTTATAGTTTGTTGACAACGAATTAGGATTAACTTCACTTTCAAGTCTGTAAAGACAAAATGACTCCTTCTAGTAACAGCAAAATAAAACAAAACCCTTTGAAGATTAAATCAAGATAGATATTAGCAATATATGATTATACAGTCAATAAATGTCATAAAATCACTGAGCTGGAATTGATCTTAGAGAACAGTTATTTAAATATATTCTCCTCTCTCCCCAAGTATATATGTGAATTAACTTAAGTTCACAGAGACTATGACTTATCCAAGGTCACATAATTTAGTGGCAGAAATAAAATTAAAACAAGGTTCTCCTGATTCTCAAACATTTATGGAATCACATATTTCTTATATTCAAGTCTGAGAGGATGTGTCATACTCAGAATAATTGATGGACTTGATTTAAAGCTTGATACATTAAATGTTTAACTACTAATGCAGAAAAAGAAGGTGCAAACACTCCAACTTAAATTTTAATGTTAAATTTAACAGCTAGAAATGAGACCTAATGTGTTTTTATACAAAGCACTACACTATAGATGTCAAAACAGGTTTGCTTGTTAGTTTTATGGCAAAGAAAGTTACATTAAGATGAAGTAGTACTTATATTTTGATTTTAGAGAATTTTCACAAATTCTTCTTGATTCAAGTCAAAAAGAATAATTTGCTAAGAACCATTTCATTCCCTAAATCACAGAGTAGAATATGCTTTGGAGGGCAGGGACAAGTTTTTTAATTGTGTTCTGAACAGAGATGACAATCTGATAAATTTGATTGTTGGTATCCAACACTATAAAATCTGAATAACTTCAAAACACCATGAAAAGTGTCCAAGTGGAAAGGAAAAACAAGCTAAAGACAAAAGAAATTAGGATTAAAAAAACTCACCTTGTTTGAATTTTGGAAGTAGTAGTGCCGGTCTTTTCTTCATGAGAATGAATTAATAGTGATGTATATCTTCTATCACCAGATGAATTTACATCCATTGTGAAGTTTAACTCTTGGCTTTTACCACCACTGCTACTCTCGCTGTTACAATCTGTGCTATCCAGGTTATCAGAATCACTGTTTCCACCTGGACCACCACCTCTTGGTTCTCCATTTATTTTATTTTTATCTGCCTTTTGTTGTGCAAGTGATATATGTTGATCTGGCAAAATTAAATGCACAGTTGGAGGTGTCTCTTTTGTTTTGTTTTTCTTATTTTTTCGATTGGTGCTGGGGGTTGTTACCACATTAGCCCTCTTTTTCCCAAACACATTGGTAAATGTAGTAGATGTGGCAGAGATCCCAATTGTAGTGGTAGTGGTTGCGCTAGGAGGCTCTATGGGAACTTCTTGTTCTGCTAATAAAAATGAATAAATAAATATTATACTCAAAACACGAGTTTCAAAACAGTTATAGCCAACTATTAATGTCTGGAAATCAAGACATTGTTAACAGTTTTATTTTCATAAATTCCCTCTACAAAAGGAAATCCCTATTACTATCAGAATTAATGTATTAGCATACTCTAAACCTAATTTGATATGAAAAACAGAGCTCATTAAAATTTCCTAATCATATTTGTCAATATGCTCTTAGGTGAGAATTGTTTGAATTCAGAATTAAAAACACATCTAGAAAGGTAGTATTTTAGAACTACTACCCAAACAGAGCAAAGTACAGCCATTTTGCTAATACAAAATATTGTTAAGGAGCTGTGACCCAACCACTGGGTTCTGATTTGCCCTAGGGGTAGGAACTCTGAATGAAGTGAAATTGCACACTGTGTTTTGGGTTCTGAAAATCTCTTAATGAATGCCTCTGAATATGTTCTTCTACTTCTCCATATGTCCACTTCCTCTAACTTCTGAGAATGTAAGGAGGGGAAGTGGTTAGTTGTTTTAAAAAATATACTTGTTTGAGAATATAACTTTTCATTTTTTAATATTTTAAAAAATAATCTTCATTTTTTAATATAGCCCCCTCCCACTAGAGAGTGAGCCATCTCTTGTAATAAAGAAAAGGAATGAGAAGAAAAAGAAGATTCGGCAAAATGAAATAATACCTCAAATTGAGTCTGACAGCATGGGTATTATTCTATACTGGTAAGTTATCTTACCTTTTCTAATGAAGGAAGAGAGATATATTTTTACATCTGATTTAGGATAGGCTTGGTAATTATAATTACAAAGCACAGCACATAACTTTTCACAAAAGGACTTACTGTACTTCTTCAAAGTACTTTTGTCTATTTTTCCATTTTTATTTCTTTCCCTGATTTTCTAGTTTCTATATTAACTCAAAATGTTATAAGGTGTTTAAAATATTCACTATGGAACACAACCAGGAGAACAATTTATGAAATTACTACAATACTGTAAACACAAACAACTTTGAAAGACTTAAGAGCTCTGGACAGAGCAATGAACAACCACAATTTTAGAGGACTGATGATGAAGTTTGCTGCCTACCACATAATAGACAGGTGATGGACATGGGGCACAGAATAAGATACATATTTTCTGGACATCATGAACATGGAAATTTATTTTACTTGACTATGTGCACTCACTATAAGACTTTCGTTTTTCTTTTTTTTTCATTGGGTGGGAGATGAGAGGAAAAAATTTTTTTAATTGAAAAAAATTTAAATAAAAAATGCTCATTACAAAAGGTATCTGTAAAATTAAGAATTAGTTATACTTTATGGTGAGCTTTTAGAAAAAAAGGAATATAAAAACTATGTAGATAGACAACAGAGAATTTTAATTACTTTAAAAAAGATGTACTATTGCTTACCTTCATCATCATTCTCCTCTTCATCATCATCCTCTGGTAACTCTAAATTTTCCTTAGGTTTGTTTTCTTCATCTTCTTCCTGCTTTCTTTTTTGTTCCTCTTTCTTCTTTTTTCTTTTTTCCTTTCTTTTCTCTCTCTTAGCTGCAAGAGCTTGTTTTCTGCTCTCCTCTCTCGACTGTAAAGAAAGCAATCATGTAATGTTACCAGTGATTTGGTAAATATTATTTTTATGATATGTAAAAGATATTCACTATGCTACTGTATATGTATTTGAGATTTTTTAAAAAGATGGTCATTTTTGCAACTATTATGAATGGACATTTGTTCATTTTTTTAAGATGGGGACCCCATGAACACTAAAAAAGTGTATTGTAAAAAAAACCAGGAAGCAATAATAAGGAAAAAGTGTGCCAATTTTTAAAAAACAATTCCACAATCCTGACAATATTTCAGTATATGGATTACACTTACATTGTAAAAATACAATTTCACATTGTTAAAAATACAATTTCCATTGAAAATGACACAAAAGCAACTCTGAAACATTAAGCTGCTGTGCTCCATCTGAGGAAACAGTTTGAGAAAGGACAGGTCATCATCAACTTGTTTCTTCCGGAATCATTAGAAGGATTATAGTAGAATTTCCCCTGAATTCCACCTTCTACTTCAGATAGCAAAGTAAGAAATTAAAATGTCTAATATCAGTTAAAAAAAATTAAGTTTATCAAAAAGGAGAAAAAAATAAAAACATAAAGGCTAAATGATCATTTCTTCTGAGAAAGTCTTCAAAAAAGTACAGCCCTCATTCATGCTTATTTTTTAACTACAGAAGGATCTTTTCCATAAAGACAAAATGTTTTTCTCTTTTTTTCTTCTTATAGGCAGCTAAGTGGTATAGTGAATAGAATGGCAGACTTGGGGAGAGGTCAAAAAGACCAAAGGTCAAATCCTATCTCAAACATTCATTCATCATTTCACACTTACTCTCTGCCAGGCTCATTTAACTTGTCTTTAAAATGAGCAAAATAAAGGCCTCTAACTCAAGATAAAATCATATATGTAATGTTGCTTTGCAAAACATAAAGCACTGTATAAATGTTAACTACTGCTTTTTCTTTAACAAATATTCATGTTTTTTATTTTTACTTCACCTACTTTTTCCAGTAAATCACTGTCATTCTTCTCCCTTGTAATAAACAGTGAGAAAGGGGGGAAAAAGGCTAGCAAAAGTAAGAAACATGTTGAAAAAGTCTGAGTATTATATGCAAAGTTCCATCCCCATACCCCTACTACTTAAAAAAAAAGTTCATTAAAACAAGTATTTATTAAGCATCTATTATTTGCTAGGCACTGGAGACAGAGACAAAAACCACACAGTCCCTGCTCACAAAAAGCATATATTTAATTTAAAGCCAAAATAACAATAATAATGATTATAATCACAACATTTATATAATGCTAAAGGGTTACAAAGTGCATATCATATTATCTCATACATATTTATTATATATAATGGAAACTCATTAAAAGCATACTCATTAAAAAGTTGTTTAAAACAAGGATATTCACTCTTGCCATGTCTATTTATCAGTTTTAGGAATCTTAGCAAATAGCAATAAGTTGAAAAAGAAAGTGAAGGAATAAGCATCTGTATTGAAGAAATCGAAATTTCTTTATTTGCCGATGACATGATTATTGCCTAAAAAAAATCTAAGAAAGTAAACAAAAAATGAAGGCAACAAATTACCTTAGTAAAGTAGCTGTATACAAGATAAACCCACAAATATAATCTGTGTTCCTACATACTACCAATAAGAACTAAAAAAAAACTGATGGAATGGGAAATAACCTTTACAATAACAAAATAAATAAAATACTTGAGCACTATTAAGACATATAATAGACTTATACCTATATAAAAACAACCTCAAAATGATTTAGACTGAAATCAAGGATGAAGATAACAAACAGTGGGATACAGTCCACTCATAGTTAAATCAAGCAAATATAGTTTGGGAAATACTGGCACTTCAACAAATATTTAGCAAAATTATAAATTAACTTTAACACTAATTTAAAGTAGTTGTAACATTTATATAGAAAAATGATGGGTAAGAATATAAAAAAGCAAAAAGAAAATTAAGATAAGCACTACCACATCTCAAAATGTACTATAGAAAGCAATAACTTTAACTAGTGTCATATACCAGAAAAAGAATATCAAAATAAATTAATAGAGCAGAGAACTCAGAAACAGAATCCACTGCATATATACAAAAGTTATGTGTCTGATAAACACACATTTCACTAGGGAAGAGAACCAATATTCAATAAAAACTTCTGGGAAAGCTGGAGAACAAAAAAAATGAGTATACAAGACTGTATATACCATACACAACAAACTAACTGGATCAAGGATGGAAGTATTTCATTGCAAATTACAACAAGTTTAACAATTACAGTCTATCACTCATTAAGATTCTGATTGATTAATAATATTAACATGAGCATTTCAATAGTCTTTGAAATTCTTATTTACCTACAAGGAACATGAGCTGGATTAGAATGTGGGTACACTCAAAAGGCATTTCAATGCTTTGTTAATGATAAAAATAAAAACAGTAATATATAGAATTGATGTCATAAATCCGAATTATAAGACAAGCCAGTTGATCCTTTTAATATGAATCTAATACCCTTAAACAAAAAAAAATTTAAGAGATCACTTTATAATTTAGCTCTTATAGCAAACCGCAAATTACTAACTTTTCACTAAATTATTATTCAGACTAAATATTAAAACTACTGATCTAGGAGTACCATTTGGCAAATGTGTTGCTTGCTCAAAAAGGTGAAATCTTTAGCTTTATTAGATCTTAAATTACTTGTTAAGTACTACATGTCAAAACATTTCCCAAAACCATGTGGGTGATAATACAGCAATAAATTCCTTTAGAGCATATTCTTAGAATGTAGCATTACTTATATAAGGCAGTGCTGTCCCAAATTGCATCACTGTTTCCCTGTTTACCTTTTCTAGATCAAGCTCCTTCAACAGGATACTTGCATTCTTATTTGCTTCAGCAGCTTGCTGGTCTTTAGCTTTCACAATTGTCTCAACACACTGGTGACATTTTTTCAACAGTTCCTAGGGTGGAAAAAGAGACTAAATAATTGTGGAATAGCCCAAATAAAACCTACAGAACAGTTATGCATGGGGTCCAGAGAGAAAAGCTTAGGCTATTAAGCAGTCTTTCTTCAAAATAAGGAGCAAATAAGTGTTTTATTAACTTGAAATATGTGACTTTAATATCTTACTTTTCAAAGCAATTGTATAAACATATTTTAGCACTATGAAATGTAATGATTTTCAAATACAGAAGTTTCCCAACAGCCCAGGCAATGCAGCAGAGAACAAGAAGGATGCGGGCTCTCTTTGCTGTAGGTTCATCTTGCCCACTCTGGAGGCATAACAAAGCCACAAAGGGCGAGGACCTTTAACTTCTGGTTTTATGACCCATCACAATCTGTTTGGAATGTTACATGAAAGCCAAAAGCTTTGAAGTACACTTCTAGGTTACAATATTAGGTACATTTAAGAAACAGAACTATTTCGGGATAAGTTTAAGTCATCTCAGAAAAGGTATCATATTTAATAATTCTCCATATCTTACCTGTTTAAACTAATTAGTGTAGGGAACTCATGATGAAACTTTCTCTCTGAAGGCAGGCTGACAACTGCTCTATAATGTACAGTTTTAGAGAGATCTTTAGAAAAACACCCCATAGAGCAGAGGTGTCAAACTAAAAGAGAAATGGGGGCCATAAATTGGATCCCTGTGGGGTATATATTGACTTATCTTTAAAATGTAATGTTATTTATTTAATAATTAGGTCAAATATTTCCCAATTACAGGTTAATTCAGGCTGCATTATGTGCATCTTGTTTGACACCTCTGGTCTACAGTACTGACAGGTTATGCAACTAGCCAATGGTCAGATGCTGTTTCTGATTCAGGACTTGAATTCACATTTTCATAAGTTGGCGGCCATTTCTCTATCCCCTCTGGCTATAACTGAGTTAGCAGTACTACATATAGAACAGAATAACAGACCAGATGACACGGTCATTATAATATATCTTACAGAGGAAAAATATCTCAAAATACTTTACCAAAAACAGTTATCTGTAACTTACAAATGAGCCAATTAAAAGAGAAAGGTCAAGGGAAAAGGCTTAATATTGGTATGTGAATGTAACAGGATACTACTTCATTATAATAAACAATTAATATAAGTTCAAGTTAACATAAAAAAACTCATATGAACTGATGCAAAAAAAACCAACAAAGAGAATATATGCACAAATACTATAATAATGTAAATGAAGACAGTACAAAAAGACAACAGAATTTAGATAAATTTCAGTGACAATGTTGACTTGCAACACTTTCCTCTCTCTTAGCAGAGTGGTGGTATACAATACGCACAGGATACCACTCAATCTGCCAGTTACAACTGTTCTATGAGATGGTTTTGCCTTTTTTTGGGGGGGGGAGCAGTAAATAAGAAAAGGTTTTTGGAGAGTTATTATTGGGAAGTGATTTTCATGTTTGAGATAAAATGCATCAACAAACCTTTTTAAAAAGATGATTTGCCAATAAAAACAGAATCTCACTTTACCATAGTGTAACACTTCTACAGGGGAACAATGTTTCAAAGTCATATTACACTTACCTTATCAGTGATAGTTGCTATGTATCTCATGCATTCAATATCAGAAGGAAATTGATTGACTTCTTTCACCAAATACTGCACAACTTTTACATGGCCCTATGGAGAAAGTACACATGAAAATTTATTCAACTTTTGCCTAAGTGCATAAAAATTTATAAGTGAATGAAAATTAGTGGTAATTAGCTACAGAGAATAACTATCCATTTGAAAATGAGATTAGAAAATTAAAAGTTTCCTACTTATAGAGAAAAGACAACTACAGCTTCCTATTTATAGAGAGAAGATGTTTCGTGGACTAGGGTAATTTTTCCTGCTTTCAAATATCAACTTATAACCAAATGAAAATAGAAATAGATTCTTGTAAGAAACAATGTTATCTAGAATAAATAAAATAAGTTAAATCCTTGTGAATTTAAACTGTTAATCTATTTCTTTTTAGCAAGAGCAACTATAGGCTTACTCTGGGAAGTAATCAAAAATTTTCTTAAAACTTTATTTTTCTGTTTCAAATAAAATTTCCAATAAAGGTATATATAGTATTTGAAGGAATATTTGAAAACAAATTTACTAAGAATACTGAGAGATATAATGCAATTATCTGTATTTAATACATGGCTGACAAACATGATTTCTTTAAAGCTATTTCAGAAGTAACATTTCCTTTCCTTCTTGTAGTAAAAGTTGCTCTATATGAACAAATAAAAGCTATCTTGCTATTAAAGTCAATTTACAAAATAGCTTGTAGAGAAAACATGTTGCAAAGGCAACCTGTGTATACTGTCTATTTATCAAAATGTAACAAGAAACTGAGTTTCATTAAATGAGGTGGAGGAGTTCTCATATGTAATAGCTACTTTTTTCTCCTCTCTCCTACCCCACCTCCATCAACTTAATAAAGCTCATCTACTAACAAATAATATTTTTTCTTAGATATGATTTCTTCCATATGGCAACATTATAACATGACCAGTTACAGCTGGTTTTTAGTTATTTTCTAAATGTTATAAAAAGTAGTAACTTATGCTGAGAATATTCATGCTTCAGGAGCAATTTTTCTTTCAGGTACTTTGCATTTAGTCTCACTGAATTTGGAACTTTAAGGACTGAAGAGATCATCTGGTCCAATACTCAAATTTTACAGATGAAGAAACTGGGCCCCAGAGAGATTAAGTGACATGTACACTCACATAGCTAATAGGCATCAGAACAAGGATTCAAATTCAAGTCTTATGGCTCAACTTCTTTTACTTCACCACAGTGGCTCTAATCCAAACTTATTTGGCCTACCGTCTCCTTTAAGAAAAAAATTATGCAGTACCTCCCTGGAAATCTTTAACTTTTTTTAAAATTTGCATAATTTCAAAAAAATGTGATGCATCTTAAATTTAATAATTTATTTTAAGTTTATTTTTCCAGCATTCAGATTTTTATGACACAATACTACATCATGTAACCATATAGTATAGTACTGTAAACAAGTCATTATATGCACATATTCATGCATGTTAGACTTCCCAACAATGCGTGACATGATTGCCTGCCAACACCTGCTTGTTAAGTGGACTTGATCACAATTGGTTATAACTTGCACTCTGTGTGTTTATTTGGAAAATAATGTAATCATTACAACTTTAACTGTTACACAATAGATGAAACATGTACAAATGGTTTTTCAAAATTTTCTTCTCTTCTTTCCTTAATTGCACTCAAGGCTACTATAGTCCTCCTGGATCATTCCAGAGGCCCCTAGGGGGCGGTACTGCCCACTTTGGCAACCTCTGATCAATAAGTTTGCCATAAAATCTAGTTTTTCACAACAAATCACCTTGCGAAATGCTGACATAAGAGGTGTAATCTTCCGATTATCTGCAGCATCCACATCAGCACCTGCTTGCACAAGCAACTGCACCACATCAAAGTGACCACCATTTGCTGCCAGCCAGAGTGGTGTGTTTCCTTTCTTGTTACGAACATCAATATGGGCTCCCCTATAAAAATCAGAGTATATTTAATATAGATATATGCTCGGCTTAAAAAATAATTAAATTTTTCTAGTGTTCTCCAACACCTTCTATCAGATACTATCATGTGATTTGGAAACAGCCTTCCTTGCTTAAAAAAATTGGCAAAATATAAACACTGTAAGTAGCATTAAGAGGCTTAGCAAAAGAGAAACAAGATTATTCATACGTCGATAAAATCTGACTTCATGGGGTAGGTAGGTGACACAGTGGATAGAGCACCGGCCCCAGGGTCAGGAGGACCTGAGTTCAAATCTGACCTCAGACACAATACTTACTAGCTGTGTGACCCTGAGCAAGTCACTAAACCTCAACTGCCTCACCAAAAACAAAACAAAACAAAACAACACCTGACTTCACCTATTAATAAGTAGCTCGCAGAATTTGTAGTGGCCTTTGTCTGCTGCTATTGTTAAAGCTGTATCTCGTGAAGAAGGTACAGGAGGAGCATTGACATCTGCTCCTTTATCAAGGAGAACTCTTCCAACTTCTGCATACCCTCCTGAAGCTGCTTCCATCAAAGGGGTAAGGCCAGTCTGAGTAAAGAAAAAAATGTTATGTTAGCATAAGCCAGTATGGTTTACCTTTTATTTTATTTTTTTTAAATGCTGAAAAAGTCAAGTGATAAGAAAGTTTTAGTTCTAGTGATTAAGTTAAGCATGATTCATCCTGGATACAACACCAATACATTAGAGAACATTTTAGTTCACTCAAACTTGGATGACTGTGATCAAACCTGATGACAAAGTAAAGTCAATGCTTCAAGTCTACATATTTGTAGTCATAATAATGCTCTTGGAAAGGCATTTCCCTACCAAATAACATTTCCAAAAGATTCTGAATTTTACCTAGGGCACATGATCAAGGATACTAGAAAATAATCATCTCTCTTTGGTGACTGCAAAGCCTAAGTAGTATTGAGTTTCTTGTCTTCTCAGTTGTAAGCTGAGGGCACAAATTATATTTTAAGTGAACAATGCTAATTATTAGAACAGTGCACTACAGCACAGGTACAATTCAACAAGTATTTTTAAAACACCAACTACAGGTAAGGGTACTACATTAACTAAATTTCTTGAACTGAACACCAAACTAACCTAGTTCAATAACTTAGTTCAAGTTCTAGGAAATCTAACCATGGAAATACAGCTCAAGAAAAAAAAAAGATTTCACTTAATGGCATCAGTTAAACCTTATACTTTCCTAACATGAAATGACCCACAAACATGGTGATTATTTGGGTGCATCTCTACTCCATTTTCTTTTTTAAATAGTTATTTTTATTTTTTGTTCCAAATCCTCTCTCCATCTACCCCCTCTCCCTTCCATTGAGAAGGCAAGAAATGATACCCATCATACATATGAAGTTATTCAAAATATACTTCCACATTAGTTGCTCCCTTTTTTTGTGCTTAGAGAATGAAGTACTTGAAAGTTATGAGTAAAGAAATCCTTATTATTAAGAGATTCAACTTCTATTTCCTAAGAGCCAAATAAAAATTTACAGAGCTATCAAGAATCTCATTATCAGGTCAATTCTAAGCTATGTTTGATTTTAGTCTAAACACAAAATGCAGGTACTGTTAAGAACAGAATATTGCTTGAGATTTTACTACTAATAATAAGTATATTCTTCCTGAGAGAAAAGCTAAAGATGAATTGATTACCCTTTTATCTTTAGGGTATTAAAGGAAAAAAATTCCACACATTTATATCAGCTTTCTAAATTTGAGGATTACAATAATATATGTAGGCATATATGCTGTGGGCAGGTAGGTGGTGCAGTGGATAGAGTGCGGCCTGGAGTTAGGAAGACTCTTTTCATGAACTTAAATCTGGCCTCAGACTAGCTGCATGATTTTGGGTGAGTCACTTAACCCTGTTTTTGTCAGTTTCTCATTTGTAAAAAAGTGAGCTGGGGAAGGAAATGGGAAACCACTCCAATATCTTCACCAATAGAACACCAAAATTATTTTCATAATACTAACATGATTTACTTATTAAAATTTTTCCCCCTTTCCCAACTACACAGCTCTATAAGGCCAGATTTTCTTCTTATACTTCAACCAAAACAACATATTGAATGCGAAGCAGATGTGAGAATTCACCTTTTATTAAGCCAGACATTATCAAGAATTGCAAAATTATGTAAAATAGTGCATTTTCCTCACTAACTTTTGTTTAGAAAAGTTATTTTTCATAAAAATGTTACTTATGTTAGCACATTATGGGTTTATATTATTGGTTTTTAAATAAATACTTTAAAAATGATCAGTTTTAATTTCTAATGAGAGATACTGGTTGATGTAACCCATATAAACAAAAAGTCTTTGGCATCCTCAACAATTTTTTAGAATGTAAAGTTGTCCTGAGACCATAAAGTTTGAGAATTACTGGACTAGAGGTACAAAATGAGACATGAATTCTTGAACTTGGCCATGCCTTTGCTTGGCTATACATTTGTTACTATGATAGGGAGAATGGTAGGTTAGTAGGTAGTGCCACATGGGAAAAAAAAAGCAGTAAACACATTTTAAATTCATAGAACAAAAAAGTTCAGTAGGAGGACAAGGAGTAACTATTTTAAAATTTTAAAAATTACATATATTAACATGATTATGTGATACAAAAGTCTACAGTTTTATTATGCAATCCTCTCTTGTTCTTCAGTGTATAGTGATAAGCACATAATATAAAAGGAAAATGGTTTTTAAAGCTTTCAGGTAAAAATAGAGGATTAACAGAAAATCACATGCAGTAGAATAACCACATATAATAGTTGCTGTAAAGTATGCTAAATCTATAAGGAAGTAACAAGCCTTCATGAACCTTACAGCTATTCCTAATAAAACACTACAAATGGTGACAATGGGACATGGACTGATCTATGGTACATTTTCCATATCTAACATATGAGTATTAGCTTTAAGTTCAGAAAAAGGAGAACCAGCATTTAAGAAAATGTTAACAGGCATATCTAGGGGCAGCTAGGTGGCACAATGGATAGAGCTCTAGCCTTGAAGTCAGGAGGACCTGAGTTCAAATACAGCCTCAGACACTTGACCTGGGCAAATCACTTAACTCTGATGGCCTCATCCAAAAAAAGAGAGAGAGAGAGAGAGAGAGAGAGAGAGAGAGAGAGAGAGAGAGAGAGAGAGAGAGAGAGAGGCATATCTAGGCCTGATATAAGGAAAAATTTCTAAAACAATAATAACTATCCAAAAGTCAAATGGGTTGCTTTAGGAAGCAGTGGAAGTGGAAGTGGAAGTGCTTTACGAAGCACTTTCCTTACTGGAAGTCTCCAAGGGTAAGCTGGTTAACCACTTGCTGGTTATGTTGTAGAGGTTCAGGTATGGGCTAGGATTAGATGGCCTTTAAGCTCCCTGCCAAATCAGAAATTCTATTTAATATAAAATAACTGGGGGAAGAGGATTCCCAACCTACTCTTCATCCAAGGATATCTTTGCCCAAATTCTTACTGTTACTAGAGGAAACAAAAAGTGATTATAACCTGTATGCACAATTAAAAGAATTTTCATTAAACCTGACATTAAGGTTACTCTCCTCTTGGAGAAGCAACATGAAATGTTATGAAGACATGATATTTTACCTTTGCTCTATGCTCAACATTTGCTTTTCGGTCCAAAAGCAAACTGACTACCTCTGCTCGTCCCTGGAAACAGGCCAGAGTAAGCGCTGTGTTCCGATTGGTCTCTATCTGAGCATTAATATCAGAACCCATATCAAGCAACAGCTTCACTGCAGGAACATGCCCATTCATGGCAGCCAACATGAGAGGAGAAATGCCTAGTTTACTCCCAGTCCTGAGGAGAAAAAAAAAAAAATCTCAGCAAGCAGAAAACATCCTGCACAAAAAACACAAGAGGAAAATGTTTTGTTGAAGGAAAAAAAAACCAACTTTGTTTTATTTACTAATTCCAAAGTTATTGGTAAAATTTCAAATGGTGAGTCTCCCAGGTAAGGGTTAACTTACACTCCCCTCCCTTCCCTTAGAAAAGAGACTACTGAAATTATGGATCACTGAAAGCAGCAAAATAAGAAACAAACTGTGTGCTATTGTTTATGTTAAGCATTTTTGTTAGAGGACTTTTGGCTGATAATCTAAAACCATGTGTTCAAATATTTAGGAGACATGGCATAGACTTTAGATGACAATTAATATTCAGGACTACTGCGAATGAGCAATTCCTACCGGGAGTTAATTTCTGCCCCAGCATTAAGCAGAATCTTAATGATATTGACATATCCCCCAGATGCAGCCAGACTCAACGGTGTATA